ATAAATAGAATAAATCTATGTATCGGGAAGTCACGAACGCCGACTACCATTTTGCACTGAACATGGCAACCGTTTGTTTTACTATCGCGTTGGTGCTTAGTTGCGATTTATATAAACATATATATAAGTTTTTAGATGATCCTTGAGATTTGATCTCTTTTCGCTGACACTCTCGCTGGCTTAGTTGCAGATAATACATTTCTCTCTTCGCATTGTATGTCTATATTTTTCTGATGTCCTGGGTTGTTCTATAAAACACCCCCAGCTTTATATTTATTTTTATTCTTCGGCCAGTTGCCCTTTTGCCGCACACTCCCAATTTTTATCCCTATTCCATCGAATTTGACCCTCGTATGAAGTGTGCTACTTTGTGAAGAATACGTCCTCTAGGTCCTCAGGCTCTTGGATGTCCGCTTCTAGATTTGAGTTTCTTTCGAACGCCAGACATCGGCATAATATTAAAATTTAAAAAATGTTCCAAAAAGAACACAAGCTTAATAGCGTCTTATCAAAGGTTTTAAACTAGGCAATTAAAACGTGCACACCTAAAATGTGGATTCTTATGTAGAATAAAATAAATCAATGCAATGCAATATTTCACATTTATAATAACCAGGTAAATCAGTTAGGACATGTTTATTTAATAGATATTTCATTTAAGCAAGACATGAAATTTTTTGTTGCTATATGTAATTTTATGTGTCCTAATTATCTTCGTTTTCGGAATATAGAGTGTCAGATACGGTAGAAATAAATGCTTTTTTTATTAACTACTCTTGAGCATTTTGTCCGATTTTCATCAAATTTGGCCATGGTCTTTTGGTGTAATCATAGTTAAACTATTGGTTCCAGTGACCAAAACTTGATAACATTTATTTCAATTCTCTAACACGCCATTGAGTTTTAAGAATAAGACTACTATAAGGCCAAACCACTGCCACAAGACGGATAACAGTAAAACAGTGTTAAGTTGTGTCGAGATCTACCCCAATAAGTCAGCGGTAACGCGATGGTTCCGGTTGCCATAAATTCCTAAAAACAATCGAAATACGTTAGACTGCGTATCTCGCTTTCCGCGTTCACATGTCATTTTCGAAAGAACAGCGCGTCTTCTCGTACAAAGAGATGAAACACGATGTGTACGCTGGAATCGTGATTATGTAACCAAGTTTACAGTTATCTGTTTTACCTGCCGATAAATTGTTATGCATTTCACGATTCGTCCTTTTAGACTGCCACACGCCTCCTCTAATCTTGTTTCGGTTGTTGATCAAGATCTTTCATTTTTGGTCATCAGAGTGGGAGTGTTAATTGGGTTTTTATTTTTTGCATCTGTTGGAAGTTACGTCCTAGTACTTCGATGTACTAGGAAATATCTTAAAACACTGTGTGCAAAAAGAAAAGTATAGACCACGCGGTGTAAGAAATAAAACTTGAGCTCTGTCAAATTACTGTTATTATAAAAAAAATATTTTTTATTTCATCTTTCGAACCGAATTTTGAGGACTTTCTCTCAATAGTAGTTGTCGTTCCTGTGATAGTAAGTCTCAAAACTTCAAGTAATTTTGCCTGATTCTGTCTAAATTTAGCGCTTACTTTTAAGTTGAAGAATTGTTCAGTTTCGGTTAGTCTTAGTTAACAACAAGTGATGAAAGATGACGTGCATACTCATGGTGACTGGAAATGGACTTAAAATTTCTTCCCTTATTACTCGACTGAAACCAATAAACTGGTGGAAATGGGAATTTTAATGTAGGTGATGAAACAGGTGCCCTGTGGACACTTGGACTACTAGCAAACCCAGAAAAGAAATAAGTCTTGTCTAAGATAATTTATCCTTAATTTTATATCTTTGTTTTGCTGTTGATTGCTGGTTCCTGCAGTTCCTCGATGCCTTGATGATTCAACATCCTAGAGTTCTTCCAACATACTTTAAAAGTGTATTTCAGATATGTCGCCATTGAAAGATATTTGCTAAGTTTCTGCAATCGATCTATCTAAAATTTCATCACTTTTTATCATACTTGTGGCAGTTAATAAAATGTTTTAGTCCAATGTATACGTAGTTCCAGCTGTATTATTAATCAATAAATATTATGGAAATAGAGTTGGGAAACTGGATTATTGTCCATCCACCTGCTACAATAATTGAGTTTACAAGAAAGCCTGTCGCATCAGCAGACTGTAGATTCATTTCGAGAGCGTAAGAAAAGATATTTCCATTCTTTTTTTTTTTTTGGAAGAACAAATAGTTGCACTAAATGAAGAATGAAATTTTGTAACTAGTTGTTGATAGAGACGAATGGATTAAATAATAAATAGTTTTGCGTAGGTCTTGGGGCTTAATATTACTTAATTGATTAATTAATTAACTTAATTAATTAAATTATTTTTTATAGAGCCGCCGGAAAGTTGGCTTTGGTTTGTCTTCACGTTGCAAATTGCAACGGCTACATTATTCGATGTTGGACACTACCAGAACCTCTATCAACGAACCACAAAGCTGGGGTGTAATTATCCATAGCGATAAAGACATCATTTTTCCCCTTATTAAACTCGATCGTTATTAATTGACGATGAAAATTACAACCGCAATTAGTGCAAGTGTGCAGCAATTAATCCAATAACGAATCGTATCCGTAAAACAACTCTCTAATGAAAACGATTTAAGTATCAGCCCGATTTGCTTTCGACGACAGAATTTTAATTGACGAATAAAATTTGCGAAATTGTATCGTGGAATTTGTCGATTGCAAACGCGCGCGCCTTTGAGCGCAAAAAAATGCTTACAGTTAATGTGCATACTAACCGATTTTTGATTAACGAGTTGAAGATTCGAAATTGACGACTGCGATAAGATCCCGCGAGTGCGCAACTCAAACCGGTTAATTAATCTTCAGATTGATGTGTTATTTTGCGCGTCGCTCTAGAAAATGTGACGTTTCAGTTCGCTGTACGTGCCTTGCAGAGTTTTTCTTAATATGTCTTGTAATATTAGGAATGTCTCTCAAGTATAGAGAATGCAGTGAAGTGAAAAGTAATCACGCCAGATTTTTACCTTGTAACCTCAAAGAAATACATGCATTTTTACAGGGTGTTCAAACAAATCAAATCAGAAAAATTTAAGGGAGTCATTCCTCATCCAAAAAAATGGTATTAATTAAATTTAAAAATAGAGGTAGATTCTTAGATAAAAAATGAAAACCTTATCTTTTCGCCATATTTGTTGCGCGGTATCTCCCCGGTTCGATACGCGAAACGGATAAAAAAAGTCCATATCTGCGAATGTAAAAAACATGTTTGGATAAGGATTTCGGTGGTATGGCCCATTCAATCTTTTGTTTCTATTATGTCGGATTGGTGTGACATAGGTACATGACCAACTGCGTCCATAATACTGATTTCAATCTAATTTTTCCAATTTTCGTACCACTATTGAAATCTGTTTTCACAACACACAATAACGCGTTTTACCACAAACCGAACCTCAATTTTACGTACTCGACGCGCGTTTCGCCAACCAAGTTGGCATCTTCAGGAGAAGATTAAAACTCCTGAAGATGCCAAGTCGAGTACGTAAAATTGAGTTTCGGTTTGTGGTAAAACGCGTTATTGTGTGTTAGTGCAGTGCCGAAGGTTCCAGTCAAGAGTTTGACTGTTTTCACAAACCACCGATTATTTTGACTTACGCTGTATCATTTCCACAATGATTATCTACAATTTTTAAGGTGATTTATTGGTAATTTTAATTATTAAAAAACTGGTGAAGATATTAAAAATCAATGGAACTTAATTTATAGTTCTAATAGACAAAAGTGTCACCTGATTCCAAATTTTCAAAAAGATGCGGTGTAAGTTTTTCACTCTGTGTAATAAAAACTTCCTTTTTTAGTATTGTATATTCTGACTTCTGGAATCTTCAATTTTTTTTATCATAAAGGATAATCAACGTCGGCTCAAATGCAGATTTTAAAAGTTAAAATAAAAACAAATGGAAAGAGTGAAAACTGTTTTTTCCTAAGTATCTTTCGTTAATTTCCTTTCAATATAGCAATGCTAAGTAAAATAGTGGACTCTTATTAACTTTACTAACTGGCATGACTAGCACATGGAGGACAGAAGAACAAGTCAGGGAGCAAAATGATGTAAGTCGAACTAGAAGTATAATCACGAGACGTGATCAAGGGGCACTGATAAGGAACGGAGGACTCCTAAAATCTTGACACCAAATGTCGTACACCGATTGTGCATGTACACGAAAGGAAAATCTAGAGCTGCTGACATTTTGCAGGCCGTATTCCCAGATAACCGACTTGGTATCATAACAATGTTATAATATTCTTCACCTTATACCCATACAAATGTAAGTATCCATCCATCCATTGTGTCCAAATTCCATTTCAATTTGCACAAAATTCAGATTTTGTAGAAAATTATTAAAAAATTCTCTCCTTTTCAATCTCGAACTCGATAGGCTGAATCGCTTTGATCGTAGTCGATTAAGGACGATAATCTGGCGTAGATGGGAGTTAACCGTCATGAACGCCTCAACTCAAACACAGATTAACCGATAATTAGCTCATCCGAGATTCGTTTTAGTACAAACATAAACCGACAAGAATCAAATCTAATAAATGCTATTAAGAGGCACGTACAGTTAATATTAATGAACTAACGCATACCTTTAGGTTTTATGTACTGTAATGTATGTTATTATATTGCCGTTCGTATTACGTACGGACATATTGCTTACCTATGCTAAACTTAACGGTTCGCGGGGCTTTTTCTTGCGGCATGAACTAAGCGTGTCAGAAGTCAAGGGTGAAATCAGGAAGCAGTAAAACCGGTACGCATGCAAGTAATAAGTTTTGTTTTATGAGCAAGGTGCGTTTTGGCTCTGTACGCTTGATGTCAAAATGCATTATTTGAAAGCGATATTTTACGACATTTAACCCGGATTTCAAACAACTGAACCCTCACCATGTATCTTTTTGTTTCAGCGCCCACCCTAAACGACGAACAGAGCACTGAAATTGAATACTATCCGGGTAAGTATTAACTTTTTTTTGTATTTGTTTAAGACTCTTATTACTTGTTATTTCAAACCAGATGTAAAAGTTATGAGGGGCTTTTTGCACCTCTTTTGAAATTTCCCCTTATATCAATTTATTTTTTATTAACGTCTTTTGACGTAATTTTCGGGATGTTATTTTAAAACCAAACTTTTTAAGTTTTTGTTAAGTTTTGTTTTGTTGACATTATGTCAAAGGGTGTTTTCATTACGCTTTATTTGGCCACTGGTACGTAAGGCAATTGATACAAATAAAATTGTAACAAAATGGCTTCTTGATGGGAAGGTTCTGCAACATTCTATCTTCCTCCAGAGGCGACATTCTTGATATAACTTGAAGTAATAACAGTAAACGGTCACCCCTCATCCTCATCATCATCGGATGCATCCGGCCTAGGTACCTGCCTAAATTGCCGTGTCCTTTTCTTAATTTCACTTAATATAAATCCGTATTTATCCACAAAACCCTTCAAGGGATCGCAACAATTTGCAAAGACTTCCTCACAGTGCAAACTATTAACTTCACAACATGTTCACGTTAAAAGGTTAAGTTAGCTTTATTGAAATTGAAAATGTAATGTTAAATGTTTTAAGATGCAGGAGAATACTGAATCATGAACTTCTAAGCAGACTTCCTTTAAATTTTGAAACCACGGCCCAGTTAAATCGTAATTTTCTTCAAGCCATAACTTACTTATCAGTTCTGAATAGCCTTTCAGGGATATATTATTTTAAAAGTTCTCTAATATCATATCCGATATCAGCCATCATCCGATATCATATCACATACAGTTTTACCTTCAAAACCCAAAATATTTATTATTGGGTACCATAAACGGGAGGAATTCTAAACAGTTCTAGAAGGAAGCGCTCTTCTGACTTCAGACATTAAGCTACATTTAAACTGCGATCTCAACTCATTTTTTTCCCGTAAAAGGAATGGGATATGGGCATATTTTGAGTGCCGAAATCATCGAGTTTGTTTTAAAACAGCTTATTTCTGGTGGGTTGCGGTTCTTCTGGTATTAACTAAATTAACCTTGACTGTAGGTTTTGCATCTATTTTACAGTTGCTGACGCAACGGGTTGCTACTACAATTTTCAACACTATGACGAGGGTGATAGAATAATCACAAACGAGCCATGTCTCAACTGCACGTGTCACAACCGCATGCTTATGTGCTACCTCAGGGTATGTCCTTTTACCAAAGCTATAGGCGCAGATTGCAAGGTGGAGAAACGGCCTGACCAATGCTGTCCCGTTATAACATGCCCGGAAGGTATGTCGGTTTGTAAAAATTTTCTGAAAGTGGAACTAATTGAGCACTTTAAACCAGTACCGGTTCAATTGGTGACTTCAACAGTACCGTCAACTGCCTTGGGACACTTGAACGAATACGGATGCTCTATCAACAATCTTTTCTACTCGGATGGTGCGAGGGTCCCCTCCAACCCCAACAACCCTTGCGAACTCTGCTACTGCATACGAAACAAAACCGCCTGCGTGATCCAACAATGTACATTGGAAGTTGAAGGTTGTCGTCCTGTTTTCCAAGAAGGTGTTTGTTGTCCAGTTCGATACAATTGCGGTAAGTTACTTTTCCCATGTGTTTTGCTGGTCACTAAGTTTTACCTTTTCAGAACATCCGGACTATCTGGAAGGACCCACAACTCCCCTTATAACATCAACCACTACAACGACGACAACACTGGCACCTACGACCACTTTGGCACCTAGCGATTGTATATACCATGATCAAATATACGCAGATGGCTCGCTAGTTAAAAAAGATGTCCCGTGCGAAAAATGTTACTGCATGAGAGGCGACATAGTCTGTGCCGTGCAAGAATGTGGTCCAACGCCATTAGACAAAGTCAACTGCACAGCTCTACCAGTCCGTGAAGGTCAATGTTGTCCAGATACTTATGACTGCGAGAACGTAATCGAAGAAGAACTGACTACCCTTTCTTCGTACGAGCCTCCGACCACCCAGCCGACTTTACCTAATGTTTTAGAACAAGAGACTGAAATTCCTCCAAAACCACAAGTGGAAATTCAAGATAGGCACAAACCTGACGGACCTACTGCTGAACCTGTCACCGAAGAGGCCACTAAAGCTACAGAATTCACTTCGTCTTCACCTGAACAAGCAATAACTAAGATATCGCCGGATACGGAACCTAGTAAGGTGGCAGACACTACTGAAATTCCCAGCGACTCACAGCAAGGTGTTACCAAACCCGAAGCACAAATAACTGAAAAATCTCCCGCTGAAACCGAATTGCCGCAAGTGACAGAAGAAATTCCGTCTGAAGTTACCAAACCGCCTAAAGAGTCTACTGATGTTTCGGAAACGGAAAAATCGGAAGTGACACCTGCGGAAGAAATCACTAAAAAAGCAGAAAGTCCGGAGGCATCAACGGCGGTCGCAGAAGAAGATTCTTCCAAACCAGCGGTTACTGAGGTTCCGAAAGAGGATACTGAAGCTCCAATTGAATCAATCACCGCCAGAATTACAGAAGCTATTGATTCAGTTACCGCCAGGGTTACAGAAGCCATTGAGTCTATAACGTCGTCCATAAGTGGAAGCAGCACTGAACCAGAAGTTCAAGAGGAGCTAACGAAGAAACCCGAAGAGGAAGGTAAAGGTACCGAAGAAATTCCAGCCGAAGAAAGTAGCACTAAACTACCTGAAGAAGAACTTCAGTTCCCTACACACCCGTCAGCAATAGAAAAAGAAACGGATAAGGTACAGGAGGAAGCAGTGCCTACCGAATCTGAAAAAGAAAAGCCAGAGAAGGAGACAACAGAAAAAATATCAGAAGACGAATCCGTCACGGAGCCCTCGAAGGAATACGAAGAAACAGAGAAGGCAACTGAAGCTCCTGAAACTTCCGAGGATTCGACCGAAGCTAAATCTTCTGAGGCTACCGTATCCGAAGGAAAAGAAGTAGAAATCGTATCTGCCATAACTACTGAGACTCCAGATGAGGAACAGACTAAACAAACCGCTAAAGCAGAGGAAACCGAAGGAGGAGAAGAACAACCGGAAACTACCAAACTACCGGAGACATCTTCTCCATCAAGCGAAGAAAAATCACCGGCTACAGAGACCGAGCAAGAAGCTATCACAGAAGAACCCATTATTTCCAAGGAATGTGGAGAACAAGAATGCGCAAGGCCAACTTCTGGGAAGAAGACAGAAAAAGAACCGACTATTCCAAAAGAGAGTACAGATTTGCCACCGAAAGCAGATACAACGTCGATACCGGAAGTAGAAATTAGAATTAAAGATAAAGAAGAGCCCGAAGAGACATCTGAACACCTCCCTGAAGTGACTCAACGAACTTTGGAAACGGAGACAGAAGAAGAAATGGTCGTAATTACAGAATTGCCCAAGAAGACTGAAATGCCTGTAGCCATGGATCATATTTCTGAAAGTCTAAAACCTCAAGAAAAACCAAAGGAATCAACTGAACTTCTAGAGGTAACGGAAACACCTGAAACAGCTGTTACACTTGGAGAAAAACAAACACCTGAAGCAGAATTAGCTCAAGTTACCGAAGCGGAAATATTTAAATCTACCGAGAAGCCTAGTGAGGTCGAAATAGAACCAACCGCCACACAAGGTGTAATGGTAGAAGAACATACTGAGCCTCCAAAAGGGACGGAACCTTTAGCAACGGAAGTTGCTAAATCCGATATTACAGAAAAGCCAATAGAAGTACAGACGCCATCATCGGAATTGCCGTCGGAAGCTGAAGAACAAACCGAAGCTACCATCTCACAAAAACCAACTGAAATCGGTCAGGTTGATTCTACGACACAGTTACCCGAATTGGAAAGTTCTACAGAAACTGGAAAACCCGAAGAGGAACCATCATCGCCTGGAGTAACGGAAACTTTACCCAAAGAACCCTCAGAGTTACCTACTAAGGTTCCTGAAATCCTTGAAACAACACAAGTACCTCTTAAAAATGTAGAAGCTACAAAGAGCCCTTCGGATGAAGTTTCGGAAGCCGCAACGAAACAGTCACTTGCAGAAACGACAACTGTTGTTGTTGAAGAGGCGACTGAAGAACCGAAATCTGAAGAGAATGAAATAGCTCCACATGAAAGTAAAGAAACGTCTACAAAGAAACATGATGACGAAACTGTCGCCCCTGAGCTTATAACTAGAGTAACTCCTGAAGAACCTCAAATTGTTACCGAAAGCGAATTAAGTACGGCAGTTAAAGATGTGACCCAAAAAACAATCGTTCCTGAAGGGTGCGCATCGGCTACTGATTGTGCCTCACAGACAGAAGCCCCACAAGATATTGAAATGTCAACTAAACCTATCTCAAAAGAAACACTTAGTCCTGAAAATGAGACTGAAAGCAACAAAATCCCGGAGACTGAAGAAACGAACGCCATACCCGAAGGTCCAGAACAAACTGTTACCTCTACTGCTACTGAGTCGCCGGTGACCCAACTAATTGAACTTGAACCTTTAACAAGAGTTACTCAACAACCGGAAGAAGAAAGCTCCGGTGAAAAATCGAGTGAAGAGTCGTCAAGTTCTGAAGAAGAACTGGAGGAAGGTAGCGGAGCGAGTGAAGAACCTCCATCTGAAGTCTCTAAAGCAACCAGCCCCACTCAACAGTCTATCACACAAAAAGCTGAAGTCGAAACCGAGGCCCAAGAAGAAGAATTTTCCAGTGCAAGTCCACAGAAACCTACAACAGACATTAGCGACTTGTCAAAATCTACTGAATCTGCTTTGCCAGCATTCACCGCAGATAATGGAACAGAAATTTCTTCAGTTAGTAGCGTAGAAATCACCACAGTTAGTAGTTCTGAGCTCATCACAATTAGTAGTGATCAAGTTATCGGTGAATCTGAAACTGTACCCTTCGAGAAACAGCAAACGGAACAACCCGAACGGGAAATTCCAGGTGAAGGAAGTTGTTTGGTTGACGGACAAACATATAGAAACAACAGTAGCGTACCTCCTATCAATCACTGTCAAGTGTCGTGCTTATGTTTAAGTTCAATTTTGAAGTGTGAGTCTATAGATTGCCCACCGCCACCATCACTTGTTCAAAATTGCATGCCAATTTTCTCTACGCCCGAGAGTTGTTGTCCAACGTACAGTTGCAGTAAGTTCATGTGATTACATTACTTTATGAATTTATTTAATTGGTCTTTTCTTTTAGCTGGACCTGAGGCTACGAGTATGGAATCTGACAGTCACATTATAGAAACCACAAGTAGTCCGACTGAAAAAGCAGCAACTATAAGAACATCAATATCGGAAACTGACACTACAAGTGCTGAAATACAAGTTACACAACAACCAGAAGCACTAACAGAAGCTCCAACAGAATCCAGTTCGCATATACCCAAAAAATCAGCTGACGAAAACGAAATTGAACGAGAGATAACCGAGGCACCGATAGTAATTGAGAGGTGTGATGGAGCAGGTTGCAAACCTACACCAAGCCGACCGGAGATTACCACAGAACATGAAGATAGCAAGAAACAGGAAACCGAATCTGTCCCAACGGAAGAATCAATACCATCTGATTTGCCAGAAACACAAACCGACAAAACTACAGGGCTTCCTGAGAGTATAACAAAAGAGCAACTTCCATCAGAACAGCCTCAAACTGAAAGTTCAGTTCCCTTCAGAGAGACAGAATCCTTTACTAATGATACACAAATCCAAATAACAACACAGCGCTCAGCAGAGGAGGGTACGGAGCCGGAAGAAACTACAAAGGTTGGTGTAGCTATATTGCCAACTAAACTTTTGCCAACAGAGGTTACCACTGAAGCACAATCTGAAGAGGATACAAAAGAAACAGAAAACTTACCAGAAATCGAACCAACAACTCAAGTTCCTTCCCACTATACTGAGAAAACTGCAATATCTGATAAAGAAGTGGCGACAGTACCTAGTGAACAGGAGTCAACATTAGCAGGTACTGAAGAACCTGAGCAAGTTAGTGATGCTGAGGTTACTACGCAGGCGTCTCTGCCAGAAGTACCTTCCATTACATCTGAAGAAGAGCCTGTGGATAAAATTCAGGTCACTGATGTCAGCATACCTGGCGAAGAGGTGGAGTCGGTAACCCAAACCTTACCGATTACTAAAGAACCAGAGGAGGAAGAAGGTCCAAAATTAACAACTAAATTACCTGAAGAAACCGTACCAGAACAAAGGCAAACTACCATGCAGCCGGAACTTGAAGAAGTGCCTATTACAACACCAAAAGAGGTTACTGATCAACCTTCTGCCACAAGTCTCCCAGGCAAGGAACAATCGGAAGCTTTACCTATCAGGCCTTCAACAGAAAAGACAGAATTGCCTCAAATTTCGGACAAAGAAACTACGACAATACATGAAATAGGCACAGAAACTGATGTTCTTGAATTAACTACCCCACTTCCGGAATCAGTTACAAAGAAACATATCGAATCGGAATCTCATGTCACCGAATCAACACCAGAACAACCTGAAGTAACTTCCCAATCGGAAATTGAGAGAGCTTCAACGGAATCGAGGAAACCAGATGTTGAGATCGCCACTGAAACAGTACAACCCGAAAGTTCTTCAGCTGGAGCTGATGTAGGTAATGAAATTGAAGCAACAGCAACAACCGAAGAAAAACTTCCACCGGAGGTTGTCGAGAGTGAAAGTGGAGGAACCGAAAAACCGACAAGAACCTCGCAATTACCCGAAGTAACATCACCCAAGGAACAAGTGTCAACTGAGTCAGAAGCGATATTACCTTTCGGAGAGGAACAGCAACCAGTAGTCACTACACAGCCATCGGAAGAACAACCGGAAACAGAACTTGCTGGTGAAATTGTAACTGTAAAGCCATACACCGCCGAGGTCATTACAGAACCTGAACAATTGTCTACCGAACCAGTAGTAGGAGAAGTAACCGCTGTAACGGAGGCTGAAATCGAGCAAGACGAGACTGCAAAGCCAGTGAAGGAAGAGGAAGCTCATGAAAGTACTACGACACCTCTATTGCCGAAAGAACCAGTGTCGATACCAGCACAAGTTACAAGTCAACCTGAAGAAACCAGTGGGGCTACAGAGGAACCAACAATCTTGTCAAACTTTACACCCGAAGTTTCGTTTGGAGAACCTTCAGAAACTGAGCAACCTACCCAAACTAATGAACCATCTGAAGAACCGCAGGTAACAGAACAAATTACCCAAGATACTGAGAAACCAAAAACAGGAACCGAGAAGCCAACGGAAATAACTGGAGCAACAGAAACCGAATTACCGTCATTGTCAGAGGATGTATCTACCGGACCGGAAGAAGTAAATAAAACAGAACTGTCGGTTACTGAACAAGGAATTGAAGCCCAAACTGTAGAACCCGGAACTGAGTATTCTCCAGTAACTGCGGCAGAACCGGTTGCAACGGAACGAGTTCAAGAGGTAACAACAGTGGAGAGTGAGGAGGCTGGAGTAGAGACGGAAAAACCAAGTGATAAGGAATACGTTACTCCGTCACAAGTTCAGCCGGCTACAGAAATTCCAACAAAAGAAATTCAATTGCCATCTTTAGCAGAGTCTGATAAGGACGGTGTTACTAGTGCACCGGTAGATATTGAAAAAGAAGGAACGACTTTGGTTGCGATCCCGGATATACCGGGAACTGTAACGCCACAAAGCGAAAGTGGACTCGAAACGCAGACGACCGGAATTCCTGAGGTGCCTGCTGAAAAAATAACTAGTAAACCAATAGAGGCATCAAATAAATCTGAAGAATTTTCTAAACCAGCGGAAACTATTACCACACTTTCTCCTGATTTTGAAAGTTCAGTCTCGACGGAAGTTTCCAATGCGTCACAGCCTGAGTTATACACTTCTGGACCAAGTATCGAAATATCAACTCAACCTGCAGTAGAGGGTGAACTATCCACTTCAGTACCTCTATCTACAGAACCATCCTCTACGGCAGTACCAGTAACGACTACTAAATATCCACCTGCACAAATACCTGGCGAACAAGTACCAACGGCACCCGATTACCAAGAACCCGAAGCTGAATACGAGGATGAAGATCAGAATACGTTCGGTCCCGGCACGTGCAGATATGGCGGCAAAGTCTACGTGTCGGCGCAACAAATACCACGAGACGATCCATGTGATTTTTGCTTCTGCTTCAGGAGCGACATCATTTGCCTACAACAGAGCTGTCCGCCGCCTATACCCAGATGCCATGAGGAACCGATCAGAGGTTTTTGCTGTCCAAGATATGAGTGTCCAGTTTCGATGGCAGTTTCTGTCAATTTGACAACGTCAACGACCACCACTACCACCACGCTTCCTCCACACTTTTTACATCACGCATATAAAGGTAGGGCGACCAAGACAGGTTGCCAAATACAGAAGAGAGCGTATAAAGTTGGAGAAGTGATCGAATCGACGTCTGGGCCTTGCCTGCACTGCACGTAAGTACAATTTTGGTTTCTTTGGTATTATGACAAGACCATTTGAGACACGTTTAGCTCGGTGTTACTATTAGTGTTCGCAGAAGGTATACGCGAATTTCTTCGGTCGATTACTATTTTGCTCCCGTGCAAATCATCCTGCACACAATGTTCCGAATAGAATACATGATAAGATATAATTCAATGGCAAAAGGGCGAAAACTTTTTAAAGCTTTGTGGAAATAACCAATGACCCGCTTGGATTTTTAACAAAAAAACCTTTTTTGCTAATTCTTGTATCTGTAGCGGCATTCTTAATAATGTTCAATTTTATTGTGGCTATTGCAAATTCGCTACTACGTTATTTAACAACTTGTCAAATTTTCTTGATGGCTTGTCTTCATCTTGTACGGCGTGCATTCATTTAATAATTGTAATGACGCAATCACACATCGCTATGGCTCAATAGCCACAAAAATACAAAGTATGCCCACGTCTCGAATCATTTATTAACACCAGGAAGTGTACATTCTGGTTTACAAGTAAGATCAAAATAGGTCTTTAGAAAAAATAAAAGTTTGATTCTTCATTTGTGGGACATGCGCTTTAATGTTTTCGTAATTAGAAAAGTAATATTAGAAATGCGTTACTAATTTCAGGTGCGGTGGTGACGGCCAAATGAAATGTGATCCTAAACCATGCAGTCCGGAACCCATGTTGAGGCAAATGATAGCTGCAGCCACGTCAAAGCGAAGAAGATGAGTGAATTAACCGTGTAAAATAGTGACATAAACTACGTCAACCAACAAACTAACAAAAAAAAAACGAAAGTGATATTGCAGACAATTTATTTTAATTGAAGTTTAGTCCCAAGCTTAAGGAAATGTTTTCTCGGGTGCCAAAAAAAAAATGGACAATTTAGGTATTGTGCCTTTTAACGATATACAGAGATGTGCGATTTTTAATGATGAATAACGAATACGGCAACAGAGTATACATTGGAATAGATTCACCACGTATATTTTCAATGGTTTATTGTACAGCATTTGTGTATAAAAAAAATTTGTTCTAGCTTTGGCCGATTTGATAAAGAAAAATGGCTTTATCGAATTGTGTAATAGTAGTTTAACACGATGATATACGTTTTTTAAGTTGTAAAATAGCTTTTAAATATTCCCAAGAAATGCGAGAAGCACCGAAAATCTTATCGTATTTACCCAGTCTTCTGCGGTTTACTTAAACCTTAAATTGAAAATAAATACGCGGTGGGGCTATTTTCGATTACACCCTGTACATACAAGAGGCGACCTATTTGAAGGCCGAAGATGCAATTTGTATACTCGAATATTACCAGTGGCGGGCGCGGGGAATAAAATTTCAGTAAACTAAAGAATACTAAGACCGCAATCAATCCTCAAACAATTGAGCGTGACGCCAAACGCCAACCCATAATAATATGACTGAATCTTTTTATACTTTTGTAAATGTATATTTACTGGAAATTTCTCTCGGAGTGTGTTACTTTTCTTGTAAGCTAGCAAACTATATCGCGCTAGTAGTATTTACGGTAATTTGTGTTGCGTATCCCTCCCTAATCGAGATCTAGGTTGTTTGACCGGCAGAACAGCACCGTCGAATTGTAGAGAATTTTCGCAGGCCTTAGTGATAAGTTAAGCGATTTCGGAATCGTTTGGGTTTCTGCTGCTTGAACGCCTAGATCGGACCCTGTATATTAACGGATGCTCAATATTATATAGTTTTTTAGGTAAGATATGTAGTATTTATCAATAATAAATAAATTATGTAAATTGCGAATGTTTTGTTTTTGAGACGTCAGAAGTATTTTTATCAAGTCATTTGATGCAGCTCTTGATAAAATAAAGCGAGATTTGCACGTGCTGAGTATAATAAAAATGAAACTCGAACTATATTGCTTTAGGCAAAGATAAGCTACGTTACCTTAAATACTGATCATTCTGAAACCTACGGGGTGCTGTAGGAATATTGGATTATTTATAGACAGGAATTTACGATTCGATTATGACATTATTTCACAGATGTTTGGCCTGCACTCACGAAAAAAGAAAAACTTAGTTAGCGGCCGTTGCCTGAAATTTTGCTGTAGTTTGCGTATATTTGATCACATACCTGAAACCTTCAGTCAGCGAGAAGCGTGTTCGAGCACAACTCTTACTTGGGGTTCACAAGAAAGTTACTCATAAGGAGCCGCCACAGTTGCACAAGAATCGGTTTGCCGTCCCCAGGCACAATGCCGCTCTTTTGTAGCGAAGTATTATAAATATTATAAAAATTATAATATCCTTATCATTATTTAGATCAAAAGTTAAATTTTGTAGTAGTTGGTGCATTACGGGTTTCAAAACTGCAATATTTACCTGAAGAAGACTAGAAATACTTAGTCAGTTGGAACTCTATGCAAGTAAATAATAAATAAAATCCAAAATATCTCAATTTATCAATTTATCAATTGACCTGCAAACAAACGCTTAAATTAAATTCCTACATCAAAAGATATTACAATAATTGTTGCTTAATATTTTCAATACTTTTTAACATAGAGAAATTTTGTTTGATGGATTCCAAATGGATGCCAAATTCGTCCGGTAATGTCCCGGAAATGTACGAAGTGGTTCGTACCGTAGGAAACAAAACTTACGTAATAAAATGACAATTTCCGCACGGTAGATCGGTATATGCTTGAGTATTTAACCGAAGGCAGTATAAGAAATATATTTCGAGAAAATCAAGGTGGATCCTTAAATAATTTAGACGTTTGTTCTCTTTTCGTTTCTACTTGCTTTTCCATCTATTTCTTTCTTGGGAAACTTTATTACAGAAACTTATTTGGATACCGACTTTATTATTATTATTATTTAGAGTTCCAGAGTGCAAAAAGTGTAATTGCATATTTAACGGAAACTGACGATTACGATTACACATCATATAAAACTGGAATAGCATTTAAACGATATTTTGTAGGAGAATGTTAAAGATGTAATATTTTTTTTGGCGGTATTTACACTAATTTAAGGATAACCTTATGGTGTTTATCGGTAAGCTGTTGTGGGCGTATTTTCTTCAGTCTATCCCTTTTTGCCAAATTTATTTTATACTATTTTATAATAACTAATGCTAACTAATTTTCGATAAAAATGATTTGAAATTTCAAAAATTGAAACCAATATATCAAAAAACCAAGATTGCAGAAACTGTTACCTTAAATGTAATAAAAATAGTAATTACGTTTACTTACCGTCGGCTAAGATGAAAAAGAAAAAGATTAGATGTGGAAATACTAATTATATAATACCCGTATCTGTGCCTTCGAATTTTTCAGAAACCAATATGTACAAATAAAAGGACATAAAAACTGCACTCCAAAATATATTGTTAAACTTTTCAAAAATTGGATTCCGATGTCTAAAGAACATCAAGTTAACATAACCGAAGAACCCATGCTAGATAAAAAGTACCAATGGAGCGTGGATACTAGTAAGCATTGCATATTTCCAACTGCAAAAATCAATTAAATTCAAAAGAACGATAATACGTAATCATTGAATTTAAATACCTAACCAAAATTGACTTTACTTGTAAACTATAAATAATTTCGCTGTTTTTAAAACAAAATCTTTTTTTTTTGTTTTCGACTTACATTAGTTATGTGCTCCTCAGCACTATGCACTACAAGTTGAGCACAAAAATTGTGACACATCCTTCTCTATCTTTGAAAAGCCCTTTTTGTAGTTTCTCCTCTTAAAACGAAAATCGTATATCACGACAAGAGTTTTATTTTAACATTATTATAATTAATGCAAATTTTCGGATAAACAATAGGAACGAACTAATACATTACGCAAAACAATACAAAAATATTTCACAACTTGGATAATAATTTTCAGCTGTCATCGTCAAAGGTAAATTTATAAAATAGTTTTAGAACAGTTTTAGATACATAGTTATGCTTAGTTATTTGGATATAAGATCTGCACAAAGTATCACTTCTAAGTTGACAAAAATCTCAAATAGAGTAAAAGTATTAAATTGAAAATTTGCTCAGGTGAACCAGTGTATTACGAGGATTCGAGCCTGTAAATGTACTTTCCTTGTCTTATCAATGTGCGTATGCATTTCAAACGGTGAGTCATGAATGTTGCTACGGTATCAGTAATTTTATATGATGTCTGGAAATAATGTTCGAGTAATTTCAGAATCTACATGAAAAACTAAGAACATTTTTTTATCTGTACATCGGTCCGAAAATCATAATTTTCAAAATGCAGAGTGTCAAGCTTTTAAAAACTTTTGCTTTGTTTTCGAGAAGAAAAAAACAATTTATTGTATGTCCCTAATTGGCAACAAATTTTAATCGGTTTTTTTATTGATACCTTTAATAACCTTTATGCAATTTCCTTGGAATTTAGCGGTTTGCTATGTAGCGATAAGAAGCCAGCGACATGCAATAAATTGGTTTTTATTACTTTTCTCGAAAATAAAGCAAGATACGAGAAAAATGCAACACAAAAACACAAACGAAGTGTATTTTTAATTGCTTAATTTGACAAAAAAATAAAACCAGTAAAAAAGTCAATCGCGCATTTTTTTCCCGTTAAAAATATGTGATAGTGTGCTTCTCGGTACGCCAATGCATTTCATATTTTTAATTTAATTAATTCTAAAGATCACAATAAACAACACTACTAAATTTCACGGTTTCTTATATTGATGACTTGACAGTATGAGAATTAACAAACGTCAAAATTCAAGTAGGGAATAATATTTCCGAGTAGAAAAATACTATAAGTAAGGCAACGAAACCTAAAATCGAAATATTAATGACTAGAAGAAATTGATTTAACATCATATGTTTTGATAAAACTTTTAAAACTTTTGATTTGGAACACTAAAATGAACTATTCGCTACTTTTTATAAAGCGCTTCTGACTCTTACGACTATGACTTTAAATATGGCCTAAGGATCTTGGAAACAAAATGATTATCATGAAATAATTTGCTATAGAAAATAAAAAAAAATAGAAAAAAAAATATTTTAATTATTTCTTGTTTTGTTTGAAAATTAATTTAAAAATTACTTTTCAAGAATGTTGGCAAAGCGCTCAGGAATGGTTTAAAAGAACATATTTTTCATTCGCACCGCTGAAATTTCTTACGAAATTATACGTATCAAAATTTTATAGATGTCTGGAGGTTACTAGAAGAATAATCATATTACAAATCTGTTGGATACATGTAACTTCTAGTACCGGAACGGTACCTCATAACTCTAAAATTAATATCGGTAATATTAATTCCCACCTCCCTAAACTTAAGCATGTTATTGGTAACTACGTAGATGTAACCGCCATAAACGCTGAACCCATCTGGCCATATCAACGTTCTAGAGTTTCGTTCGATGACTTCTGAGTCATCTAAGGGCTCCGAGGTATCCCATTTGTTTATCTGGTCCAGAGGTGACAATCCAAAATATATCGTACCTTCTGAATCACAAATCATACCGTCTAGAAAGCGAAGTAGACTTAAAAGCGTTTAACTGAAATGGCGTACCCACCTGTAGCCCCTTTCTTTCTCCCGTGATTTGTGACGTATTGACTAACGTTTCCAATGGCTACATTTTCCTGCTTCAAAATTGTAGTGGGTATTGAGTAAATGTGGAATGACATTTGTGGCGTATAATACAATAATCTCGGATTGGTAGTTACCGGAGATAGGGCAATACCATTAATGTTGCCAAACATAATATTTCGTACCCCATGGAGTGTAAAATTGAATGCCAACGGATCAGCTCTCATAGTAGCTTTGTCGCGAACTTTCCAGGATTTGTTGAGGAACCTATTATATACCACGATTCCTTAAATGGAAAATGGGATTCTAAAGATACTTTTCTTACAACCTTTGATTAGACATAGACAGTTACCTGGATCCACTGCCGTAATATCACTGATAAACGCCCAATCGCCATCGACTACTAAATCATCGAGGAAGCATCTCTTGTTAATGGCACAAATCTCTTCTGGAAAGTTATATGTTTGGATCAATTTTCCGTTGTCGTTTGTGTCGAATAACATTAACTTTCCAGGGCACTGTGTCAAGTTAGATCTTCGCGTACCATCTAGCGCCCACAGTACTCCGTTCGGGTCGATTTCTACACTAAGTACGTCCTAGAATCGCATTAAGATTAATTTGGGTTAGGGATTTCTCGTAGATCTCTCCCAAAACTGCTATGTGTACCAGTAAAGATGAACAAGATTGTCCGCTATTAAAGTCCCAATTGGGATAGGGTTTCAGTAGGGGGTTGTGTTTATCATCTTTTAGAGACACTGTAGCTAGCGTTACCCTGGCCGACGTTTTGTTTCGAATAAGCGTTAAATAAACTGTATCTCTGTATACTTTAATACCGGTGATTACGTCCTCGCCTAGAAGAAATACAAAAAGTAACTTAATCGACAACTAAATATTAAAATTTAAAGTTAGATACAGTAGATATAGTAATATGTAAATAATAAATTTATGTCCAAACTGGGTGTTACAAATCCGTTTCATGTCATTGGGATCTCAGCAACTGTAAGAGTATTTCCTCCGATAAAAGTCCAATTTTTTCAACATCAGAACGGATTTACACTGAGCAACCGTGAACCATGACAACCGTAATCATAAATATCAAATAGATAAGAAATCTAAATTCAGCTCGTAATAACTTTGTTGGAGTAAATTTTAAACAGTTAGAAGATATCATTTGAATATCCAGAAGTCCATTGGGGCCATTTAAAGCTGTTAGTTATTATTTCATTAATTTTTATTTGAATACAGTGAGAGATGTCCCTTAATACATGATAATCCATTAACTACAATTAACACATATATTCTGTTCTGTTCTAAAGAAAAAATAAATAACAAAGTTGTCCATTCATTTTGTCAAAGATTTTAATTATGTATGAAAATCAGTGTCTATTTTCCCAGTTGCGATAGGTGAAAAATAATAATAAAAAATCAATTTGGCATTCTTGTTTTTTTCACTGATCACGAACTTATACTGTAGTGTAATACGCTTTGTATTGATAATAGATGCAATACACCATTATTTTCGGTATTAAATTTCCTTCTAGCGCACATTAAAAATTGTTAAAAATTATATTTGTCCGATATTTTTTTAGCCACGTTGACGAGTTTCCAGGGTTTCCGATTATATTTGAGTGCTACGAACTGATATAATGATGGATGATGGTAGAGTAAAGACCTGCCGTATTTGATTCTTAATTTTTGTTATGGACCTGTCAGCATTCTGTTTATTTAACTTTTATTTTTTTAACATTTTATCGAAATTGTTGAGTGTTATCAGTTTATTATCAGGTTATGGAATTGTTGAGTTAAATGACCAACTCTTAAGAAATTGCTTACCAGGTACGTAGCCAAACTCTTTTCTTTGAACTTCCGACTGCCAATCAAAGTCAATGTAATTCCATCGAAAATACGTCCGAAACTTATTGCACTGGACTGACAGACATATCGACCATACAAGTATACTGATAAATACCACCCTCGACATCTTGTCCAATAACTTTCATTAAGTTTGGTTAGTTTGACTAAAATTGACTCAAGACGCGTGTTATATATACATATGGGGAAGCTTCAAACAAGTCGTGCGATAAGCGTATTAAATTCGTTCGAATCTTTTGTTGTTTGTTTTATAATATAAGATAAGACACGCGCAAATAATCGAACGTATTTGCATAAGTCAATCAAAATGACCGATAATGGTCAATTTGCATATTTTGGCGAAAAGCGTATTGCGACAAAAAATGAAAATGAGCGAATTTTTTCATTATAGATAAAATTTGTGAGTATGGTGAAATTAAGTAGTTTACACTAAATATAAAATTTTGTAAAATTATACGGCAGAAAGTTAATCAATAAATACATAAAAAGCTACGCACGCTCTACTTGCTGGAAGTTTATATTTAAAACATTTTTTATGGTCCAACTGGTCGGTTTGGCATCTATCTGATTTAAAGCTTCATATAGAAGGATATGGAGAATGAATAAAGATATTTCAATTTCAATGCAACTTCATTTTTGGATTCTATGAAAAATTTTGAAACTTTTAATGTGACACATATTATCGCTTCCTTGAAGTGTTTTTCAGATAAAAAATATTTTGTAGAAAATTTTGCGAAGAACATCTACAATAAAAAAAATATCTGTCAACCGTTTTAGATAAAAATATGAAATTTTATTTACGGCTTATCAAGGCTGCTCCTTTATATATGAGATTTAAGCTACAAGCATACAAGTATAAAGGTAAATTAAGCGTGAATTTTAATCCGATCTCCGTATCGGTATTTTTATAATTTATCATATTTTATTAAATGCAAGAAAATATTATATTGCGGATATGGGAATTCTTTATTTATTTTATTTTCAACGATATGCCTACTTTATTTGATTATATTCGAAAATTAGGTATGTAAGGACACGGTCCAAAGTTATTTCCAAAAGTTCGCTGGTAAAGCTCTTGTTATAATTAGCAATGTATTAGTACATTATGCAACAAATGAGGTAAAAGCGCGCAGCGGATAAACGAGTGACCCAATGTGTTGCTTACTATACTTTGTCTACGACCGTTAATTTTTGAGCACATTTTTGCAAAACAACACGAATGCATTCACTGACATGTGCGTCAGAATTGACAAACGTGGAAATTTAAGCCTTGCGGTAAAATCTCCGAAAAAATCCGATTGCTCCCGAACCCGTGCGGTAATATCGCGGAAATATCCGGTCTCGGATCCGTGGGATCACGTGGTAAGGTGACGCTTTCCATATGCTAGGTCGGTGTATAATTAGGTATTTTACAGAAGGGAGTAGAAAAAATTAATTTAATTTAATTTAATTCTGAAATAATATTAATGCACGAAAATTCGAAATTGCTTTCTGTTTTAGGACGCGGAATATTAAATTATTAAATTATTATTATTATTATTAAATTATTAAATAAAGTCTGTTCATAGATATAAGAAAGCTGTAAGAATGAAATATGGCCGAACAGGTCCGTACTTTGCTTATAATTTAATTATTTGGTGTTTTGTTAGGAAAGATGTATTTATGTTTAAATCTAAAATAAAATTAAAAATTATTTTTATTACCTACTTAAATTACTTAAAATTATTCACATAATATATCAGTATCACTATCGCCATCATCGCCTGTTCCAATTATTATTTGTTCTATATTATTTGCAATATGGATATACGATTGCTCTGCTTTTTCTATATGTTTAACAGAATTTGCCCAACTTTGTGGAGGGATGATAAAAACTTCGGTTTCTATAAGTTTGAGGACATTGGAGTTAACACGGGGAAAAACATTGTTACCACGAATGGCAGATTTCAGTTGGTGCCAAACATGTTCAATAGGATTAAATATACAGTGGTAAGGTGGAAGCCTTAAAACTGTATGCCCTAGATTTTATGCATAATTATCACAGACGTATTCCTTTTGTAGGTTCAAGCTTTGTAGAACCTAAATTAATTGCTTTTTGGTATAATCTTCGTGAAAATAAATGTCGTTATTATACATGTAGTTTTGGATTGTTGCTTTTGTGTCACATGAGGAAGGGGTTTTAGTCAACTGTCTACCGAGATAACTTGCATTGTCCATTACAATTACGCAATTACGAGGAATGTTTGGAACTAGTTTGTTTTTAAACCAACTTTCAAATAAATCAGCGGTGGTGTCTCCCTGGTAGTCCAGAGAAGAATCCTTTAATATTTTCCGCAGACAGAGAAAGTCCATTTGGAATCCAACCATCTTTAGAGCCAGCATTCAAAATTCTTTTACCTCTTTTTGATGGCGCGTCTGTTTTAAACTTATGAGTTGAGTCAATCCAACCCTTTTCCGGGGTATCATAAGTGTCGAACCAGCTTTCATCCAAGTAAATAATTGGCTTTTGTTATTCTCTGTAAATCCTAATTTTTTCTAGATATTCCAATCGCCATTTCCGAATTTTAAAAGATTCCATTAAAACTTGCCTTGTGCCAATTTTTTTAAATCTAAAACCCATGTGTTGAATACACTTCCATAAGGTAGTTCTGCCACATTTAACACCGGTTTCGTCTTTGCAAGCCTCCTAATTAAGATATTTAATGTAGGCATGCTTTGTTCCTCGTACAACTGGTAAATTTTAGGCCGTATTATATCTTGAACACTTTCATCTACACACGAGAAAATGTCAACATCGCTTCTTTTTTCCTCGATGAAATAGGATTATTCACAATTTTCGTCAATGTGGCCGTTTCTTATAAAGATGCTTGCTTGCTGGCACCACGTTCAATGGGAGTTAAATAAACATTGTCTATAACTTCCTTAGTCTCAAAAGAATAGCGTTTTCTACATTTGGGAGGGACCATCTTCTGAGATACACTAGACTCGCACATATGTTGCATAATTCGCATCCGATTCAACACACGATGTATTACACACGGAATAAGAATGATTACTAATAAACTTAAACTAAGTAGTATACCAAACCAAAGAATATTAAACACAGGTAGGTATAAAATTATTTTCTATTACGGACCACAATTTTAGCTGAATTTAAATTCCGAAACTTTAGGAAATAATCTTGTTGCATTGTATGTTAATGACCACCCTTGGATAATCCCATCCAAAAGCAATTGGTCACTTTCTTATATCTACGAACAGATCATACCTCGATTAAATAACAATAACTCTTTCGTACATAGTACGTAGTTTTCACGCACATTGAGTATACCTTATAAAGGTTACTCAGGGGATTTTTATTCGAGATATCGGTCATTTAGAGTTTCCAATGCATTTAGATTTACAAATAGTATGCTTTGACGATTTAAACAAATGCAATACACGCGCTTTCAAACATCATTTTGTCAAATTTTCTTAAATATTTCCCAATGTTGCGGGCATTTTTAAAGGTATTGAAGTCACTGTTATTAAGTTTTGTATTCATCGGAAAATTAATTATTTAATTGTATATTGTGCAACGCACTTTAGGCACAAGTTTGTTTAGGCGTGAGCGTAATAAGAAATTTATAAACTTGTTGCATATTATTCTTTTTCTACGGCCATTAGTTTTTAAGTAGACTTTTAACAAACAGCAAGAGTCCATTAACTGAGTGCCGTGTGACGTTACCATCAGAACTGGCAAACGTCAAAATGCCATCACTGTGTTGATTAATCAATCTTGTCTTCCGAAAACTTACGGCGGCTAACAACACATGACGAATGTAACGGGAATGCTTGGCGTGATTAATGAAGGTGACGTTTAAAGTAATACTTTGCGCATGCGTAACCAGTGGATAATTTAGTATTTCAAACGATATTTTAAAAAGGGCACGTGTTAAAGAAATAATCTCGAAAGTAATGTTGTACAGAGCAACATTTACAGGATATAACTATTTGCAGGTTCAAAAAGTTATTTTTATTTAATCGACGTACAAAAGCAAACTCCTCAGAACAAAGAACATTAATTCCACATTTTAATGTAAAAATGTTATTAGTTCAGGCAATGAATTTTCACTTGAAGACCCTGTATTCTGATTATCTACTTTTGTGCTAAACGAAGAAGTTTTACCAAGTTTTACCATTGATCATGAAACACCCTGTGTAAAGATAAATACATGGCACGTTTTTTTCGTAATATCCCAGCAATTATTATTAATATCGACAAATTTTATATGGAAGGAAATTAATGATACAGCGTGATTCTGGGAGCAAAAATATATCAACCCAATCCTGACGCCGAGAACCGTTCTGACATTTGAACTTTTTGAAAGTTTTATTGACTACACCACATATGTTCTCTTCCAAACCGTGATGCGTGCCTTCAATGAATCGCTTGGCACATTATATATCTTATGCATACATACCTGCTACATAGCCAAATTGGGACGCATGTTCGGCAGAATTCCATGTGAAATTAATATATTCCCATTCGAATTGAACTCGAAACGGCCTTTGAGGATACTGTTCTACAAGGGCCAAAATTACAGTTATAATCGCAACAACAGCCGTAGAGCTCATCAAAAACCCGACAAGTAAAAACTTGCGCCAAAACATGTTCCCGACAAAAGCTGCAGCTTCGTAAGCGGATGTTTTGCCAATGTCCATCGGAAATCGATCAGGTTAATATTTAAAATGTGAGAACTTGATTTTGTGCTAATAAATAAGAGATGCATTATAGCGCATACACAATTGATGCATGGCGTGATAATGAATAGATAAGGAAAATGAAAAAAATATCTTAATCTAAAGTAGTTGTAGTTGAGATAATTTCTGACGCAATTAACGAATTAATATGTACAAAATCACTTGACTGGTTGAATAACAGTTCTGGATCTGCGAACATCAATATCAAATCTATTTTTGACAAGGAAACAGCTAATTATTACTGCCTTAATTAATATTATCGATCGTCAAAAAAATTATATCGAGATCTTTGTTATGGTTTTGGTTTTTTGCTAGAAACTGAATATAATCATTTATAGTTGTGAAAAAATGACACACGAAAATCACTGACTACTGCATTCATTTATAAATAACGAAAGAAAACACATATTACCTTGGAAAACATCTTAAAACATATACTTTTCTTCCTTCTAAAATTCTTTGTCTTAAAATAAATTGTAATAAAAGTTAAACTTTTCAATAAGAAGTAAATTGAAACTACAACTGTCAGTAAAAAACTTCTTAAGATTTTGATGTGTTATATATATATATATATATATATATATATATATATATATATATATATATATATATATATATATATATATATATATATATTTCACGTATTGATTCACGGATGGAAAATTGTGATGACACTATGTTCCGGGATATCATCTGTTCGTACTTTTTCACAAACAGCGCTAATAATGGACAATTAAAAAAAATAATAAATTTGTGAGTATGACTATTATTTGTAATTTTTAAATTCGTATATGTCTACTGTTTAAGATATTCTGTGTTAGACGTTTTATTTTTTGATAGCGAACTAATTCTTTGTATGATCTCGCTTTTTTTGTCCTTTGTTTTGCAGTTTTTGAGAAAGACCTGGTTTGCCGGTCGAAACGTCAATGACAATTACAGTGTTTTAAAATTATTTGTGAGTTTTGTTGACTGTGGACCAAACCCTAAGAATCAACCTATAAAAAATATACAAGGATCCAAGAAAAGCATAATTTCAACTATATATTCTCCGAAAACACTTCGAGTGTTCGAAGTGTTTTCGGAGCGCGAGCATTGAAGATGCCAAGTGAGATTTTGGCGAAACGTCTGCAGGATTCCAGTCGGATGCAGGATTTGCAGGATTCCAGTCGGATGCAGGATTCCAGTCGGAGTTCAACGAGCGAACGGATGATATCCCGGAGTATAGTGTCATCACATTTTTCCATCCGTGAATCAATACGTGAGAATATATATATATATATATATATATATATATATATATATATATATATATATATATATTTAGGTCAATAAAGGATAATCCGAATTATAATGGAGATATACAGCATATTCAGCAGATAAAAATAAGTAAAGAGCTTCATATAAACTTATGGGCCAAAATACTTTGTTCTATAATAAAGTAATAATAAGTAAGTAATAAGTAAAAAGTGGTAGGCACTTTTTAAAATGATTTTTTATTAAAACGGTCTCACGAACGCCATAACGAAAAACAAATTTATCTATTCTAGAAATTTGTTTTTAAGTAGCAATAATAAGTTTAAATCTAGAAGATTTTTTTTTAACAAGAAAAAACGTTTTTTTGCAATATTGCAATTTAATATCTCCAAAAGAATTTTAGAACACAATTTTATATGAACTATTTTACTTATTTTTATATGCTGAATATGC